ACCGGGCTCAGCACCATTCAGGACCCGGCTCAGCACCATTCAGGACCCGGCTCAGCACCACTCAGGACCAGGCTCAGCACCACCATGCACTGGCTCAGCACCATTCAGGACCGGACTCAGCACCACTCAGGACCGGACTCAGCACCATTCAGGACCCGGCTCAGCACCACCATGCACCGGCTCAGCACCACCATGCACCGGCTCAGCACCATTCAGGACCCGGCTCAGCACCATTCAGGACCGGACTCAGCACCACCATGCACCGGCTCAGCACCACCCCTACCCGGCTCAGCACCACCATGCACCGGCTCAGCACCATTCAGGACCGGACTCAGCACCACTCAGGACCGGACTCAGCACCATTCAGGACCAGGCTCAGCACCACCATGCACTGGCTCAGCACCACTCAGGACAGGGCTCAGCACCAGTCAGGATCACATCTCTGTTCCCTCAGGCCCCTCAGCCGCCGCCGCCGCCCCGGCCGGCAGGGGGCGCTGCGGAGATACCTCCGGGCCCGCCCCGGCCTGCGGCGGCCGCGGTGCACACCCGGTACGCACCCGGTACACAGCGAGCCCCGGTGCGCACCCGGTACACAGCGAGCCTCGGTGCGCACCCGGTACACAGCGAGCCCCGGTGCGCACCCGGTACACAGCGAGCCTCGGTGCGCACCCGGTACACAGCGAGCCCCGGTGCGCACCCGGTACACAGCGAGCCTCGGTGCGCACCCGGTACACAGCGAGCCTCGGTGCGCACCTGGCGCACATCTGTTATAAACAAAAATCTGCCAGTTTTTTTGTGAAAAAAGGAGTTGCGAAACCAGTCCGACGAGTTGCTGGCAAAGTGAAGTTCTACCTGTTTGTTACTATCATCACAAGTCGTTGTAGTTAATGGCTCCTTTTGTAAGAGTACAGGCCCTGGCTAGGGCTAAGTTAATGGCTCTTCTCCCCGGACAGCGCGGGGAAGGGACGGGGGCATCAGAAGGTGCAAAATAACTTCGGGACCACCACGGCTTGAGAAGTGTCAAACTTACGGAAAAGACCCCAAAAACAACGAGCCAATACAGAATTAAGAAATTAGAGTGATGTCTGGACGTGAGGAACAGAGCGCTGAGCCTGCAGAGATGCTGAGAACCTTTGCTGCCCCTCACCCTGAGCAAAGACATCATCTGAAACCAAGACCACGAGCCGGGAGGGGGCAAAGAGTCGAGGTCGGGGTCACGCTCTCCTGCTCCCGCAAGAACAGAACCCCCAGATCAGCCCCTAGTGGACAAAGCTGCGCACATCCTCCTCCTCCGAGTCACCCTGGGAAAGAGGGTGGAGACTGCAGACCCGTCGGGCTTCCCAATCTTGAGCTGAGCACTTTTCATAGAGGCATTAGAAGGAGAAAAAGTCTCCTGCCCTGTTTATTTCACGCCGAGCCCCGGTACACAGCGGGCCCCGGTACACACCCGGTACATCCCCGGTAGTCACCGGGCCCCGGTACATCCCCGGTACTCACCGAGCCCCGGTACATCCCCGGTACTCACCGAGCCCCGGTATACCCCCGGTACACCCCCGGTACACACCGATTCCCCCTCCCCGGACACCGCCTCGCCCGGCGCTGCCGCCCGCTCCCATCCCCGGTTCCGCCCGGCCACGCGTCCCGCACGCGCTGCAGCCGCCGGGGCTGCCGGCCCTGAGCGTCCGTGGAGATGGCGGCAGCACCGGCCCGTGTGGGAGCGGCCTCCCCTCCGCACCCGCTCAGCACCGGCTCAGCACCACCTCAGGACCCTCTCAGCACCGGCTCAGCACCCCCCCAGCACCCCTTCACTCACCACCACCTCAGCACCACCTCAGGACCCTCTCAGCACCCGCTGAGCACCGGCTCAGCACCACCTCAGGACCCTCTCAGCACCCGCTCAGCACCTGCTCAGCACCCCTCAGCAACCCATCCGCACCCGCTCAGCACCACCTCAGCACCCCCTCACTCACCACCACCTCAGCACCCCCTCAGCACCCCCTCACTCACCACCACCTCAGCACCCCCTCAGCACCTGCTCAGCACCACCTCAGCACCCCTCAGCACCTGCTCAGGACCCCCTCACTCACCACCACCTCAGCACCTGCTCAGCACCACCTCAGCACCCCTCAGCACCTGCTCAGGACCCCCTCACTCACCACCACCTCAGCACCCCCTCAGCACCCCCTCAGCACCTGCTCAGCACCACCTCAGCACCCCTCAGCTGCCCTGGAAGCAGGGATGGAGCAGCCCTGGAAGCAGGGATGGAGCAGCCCTGGACTGGGCACAGCTGGGACCGAGCAGCTCCTGCCCTGCTGGAACAGGGGTGAGAGGCAGGAGGGATCTGTGAGGTCTCAGCCCAAGAAATCCCGGGATTTGTGCCCCCATCCCAGCCAAGCTGGGGCTGGCAATGATTCCTCCTGCAGGGAGGGAGGGAGGAACAGCTGAGCCCCCACAGCAGCCGCTCCTCACGGGAGTGATGCTCCGAGCCCCGCTCCCGGTGCCGCTCCCTGAGGTTTTTCCGCCATCCCCATCAGGGATGCAGGCCTGGATCAGCGCGACCCTGCTCGGCCGGCCTCTCCCGGGCCCCAGCGCTCCCGAGTGAGCGACGAGGCCTCGGCTCCGAGAGCTCGATCGCAACCGGGCCCTGCGGGGCGGGATGGCCCCGGAGCCCCGCACCCCCCTCCGGAGAGCATCACAGCACGGCCCCGGGACACCCCCGGGACACCCCCGGGACACCCCCGGGACAACCCCAGGACACCCCGCGCTGCCCCCCCCGGGGCGGCATCCCCCCCATCGCAGCCCGGTGCCCCCGTACCTGCCCGGCTCCTGCTCCCGGCCGCGGGCCCCGCACACATCCGTGAGGCTCCCGGCCGAGGCGGCGGCGCTGGCGGCGTCCCCGGTGGCCGAGCCGCCGCTGCAGCTCTTGGTGCGGAAGAGGCGGCTGAGGCGGATGCGGAGCGAGCCCTTCCTGCCGCCGGGGCCGGTGCCGGTGCCCGCGGGCGGCTGTGCAGGGCCCGGGGCTGCCGCTCTGCCGGCGGCACGGGCGGCCCCGCGCCCGGGGGACCCCGGCTCGTCCTCGGAGCCGCTGCCGGCCTCGTCGGGCTCCAGCGCCTCGAGCACCAGCAGCGCATCGCTGGTTTCCTCGCCGGCGGGCGGCCCGAGGCACGGGCAGGGGGTGCCCGCCGCGCCCGCCGCCCCCTTCGCCCCCAGCCCCGGCGGGCGCAGCCCCAGCGCCGCCAGCTGCAGCTCCAGCCCGCTCTGCGCCGCCGCTCCCCAGCCCGCCGCCGCTTTGGGCTCCAGCGCGCAGCGGTGCCGCGGGCACAGCTCGGCCCCGCCGCCCCCCGGGACCCCCCTGCCCGCCGCCGCCGCCGCCGCCGCCGCCGCCGCCGGGCCGCAGTCCTCGCCGGGCCGGCCCTCGGCCGCCGCGTTGCGGAAAACCATCAGCTGCGGCCGCGGGCTGCGCAGCGCCGGCCCGGCCCCCGGCAGCCGCCCCCCGCCGCCGGGCCCCGCGCCCGCCGCGCCGGCACCGGCACCGGCGCCGCCCGCCGCGCCCGCCTCCGGCCCGGTGCCATAGCCCAGCAGCCGGCTGAGCACCCGGTACGAGGCCGCGGCGGCCGCCGCCGCATCCCCGTCGCGCTGCATGGCTACGGCCGCCGCATGGCCCGCGGGGACCGGGACCGCACCGGCACCGGCGGCCGCCGCCGCCGCCCTCGCACGGCCGCGGCGCCCCCCCCTCGCCGCCGCCGCCGCCCCGCCCCCGCGCTTCCGCCGCTGGCCGCGCCCCCCGGTGCCGGTCCCGCCTCTCCCGGTGGCTGCGGTCCCTCCCCGGTGTGGAGGCCGCGCCCCCGAGCCCCCCGAGCGCGCGTGGAGGGGCCGCGGGGACGCCCTCGGGACACGCACCGGGCACAGGGAGCCGCTCGAGCCCCGCACCCGCCGCCGGCACCGGCACCCGAGGGTGGCTCCGGCACCCACGGAGGGACCCGCTCCGAGCCCCGGAGCCGCTCCGAGCGCCCAGACCCGCGGGCGGGAGCGGTTCCGAACCCCGGCACCTGCTCGGTCCCGGCATCCACGGGCACGGGGGGGTCACGGATGGTGGGGCCGGGGGCAGCGAGGGCTCCCGGACGCGCAGCTCCAGCCGTGACCCTCGGACTCATCCCCCGCTCCGGGGCCGGGGGATGCGGTGGGGGAAACTGAGGCACGAGCACGAGACGCTCCGTACCGCGAGCCCTGCGGGGCTCTTGCCCGGTTCTGGCGGGCAGCGCGTCCCAGGCGGAGCAGAGGGGACGGGGACCGGCTCTCCCCACACCTCCCCGCGGGCTGGGGCTGGGGAAGGTCATCGTTGCTTGAGGCTGGAGCAAGGAAACTGAGCGCCCTTCCGTGCCTCAGTGTCCCCCCTGCACCCCGGCTCTGCTACGCGGGACATCCCCCCGCACTTGGGGGGGGCTTCAGATCCCGCTCTTGCCCGCGCCCAGCGCCCCCAGCCCCACAGGGACACCCCGAGTGGGGGACACCCCCCCCCATTCCCACCCCATGGCCCGGGGGGCGCCGGGCACTGCGGGATTGGAACCCAGAACCGTATGGGGGCCCCGCGGGCGCCCCGTTCCCCCCGACTGCCGAGGGGCCGCGGGGAGGGGGATACGGGCAGGAAAATTCCGGCTGCCGTTGCCATGGCTTCCCATCAGGATGCGCTTGCATCACGGCCAGCCCGAGGGGCCGGGGCGCGGGGTCCCCTCGGTGCGCGGTGCCCACGGGGCTCAGAGCGGGGGGCTCCGGGCAGCGCTGCCGCCCGAGCGGGAGCGCGGGGGCGGGCGGGGGGGCTCCGGGCAGCGCCAGCCGCTGAACACGGTTTGGAGCCGGTGACGTCTGCTCCGGCATCGCCGAGGGAGAAGAACGGGCGGCAGAGCGCGGGGCCGGCTCCGGGCAGATCGGGGGCTCTGCCCGCCATGCGCCCCCCGCGCCGGCCGGGGGGGCCGCCGGGGGCCGGGGGGCTCCGCTGAGCCATGGGGCCGTGCCGGTGGCCGCTGCTCTGGGGCTTGCACGCCGTGCTGGTGCTCGCGGCGGGGCAGCGCCCGCAGGAGAGATCCCCGCGCCCGGCGGGATGGTCCCCGGCCCCCTCATCGTCGTGGGCGCCCACCGCGGAGCCGGGAGCGCCGGGGGACGGCGAGGGCTCGGCGGCAGCGCTGGCGTTCCTGCGCACGGGCGATGCCGAGCGCCTGGCCCGGGCCAACTGCAGCGGGGGTGTCGCGGCGGGGGCCCCCGGGCCCGGGCCCCCCCCGGCGCTGCGGGCGGCCCTGCGAGCCGCCCCCGAGGCGCTGGCCCACGCCGCCAACTTCCTCAACATGCTCTTCCAGACCAACGACATCCGCGAGGCCAGCGTGGCCGAGGACGTGGAGTGGTACCAGGCGCTGGTCCGCAGCCTGGCCGAGGGGCACCCGTGGGTGCGCAGGGCGGTGCTGGCCCTCGACGCCCACCCGCTGGCCCCCAAGCCGCGGCTGATGCTGCAGGCCACCAGGGGGGACGGGCAGATCCTGCTGCAGGACGTGTCCAGCGCCGCTCCCAGCCTGGGCAACCTCAGCTGGGACAACGAGTGGTTCAACGCCCTCAAGTCGCAGCGGGTGCCGGCGCTCCGCAAGCGGGTGCTCAGCAATGACCTGCGCAGCCTGGAGACGCCCAAGTGGCAGCGGGGGGACAGCTACGTGGGGGACCCGGGCCATGTGCGCTGGTCCCCGCCGTTCCTGGAGTGCCGCGAGGGCCGCTTCCTGCCCACCTGGGCCGTCACGCTCTCCTCCGCCTTCTACGGGCTCAAGCCCGACCTCAGCCCCGAGTTCAAGTAAGTGGAGCCCGGAGGGGTTCGGGGGGTGTCGGAAGGGGTGGGGGGTGCCCCGTGTGTGTGCCGGGGGTGCAGCTGGATGTGTCACCCACCCCGGGGCGTCCCCAGGGCGTCCCAGGGGAGGGAAGGCTCCGCTGGGATCAGTCCCAGAGCCCACGGCCCCATTCCCGCCCCCTGGGCTGACCCCGTCCCTGGCCACAGGGGGGTCGTGCGGGTGGACGTGGAGCTGCGGGACGTGGCCATCGACCAGTGCTCCAGCGGGCCGGGCTGGTTCTCGGACACGCATCGCTGTGACCCCAACAGCACCCAGGTACCGCGCCCCGGCACCCGCACCCCATCCCCTCCCCCGCCAGGAGCGGGTACCCCGCGCCCCCCCAGCCCCGGACCCCGCGCTCCGCGTCCCTCCTTCCGGGCTGAGCTTTATCCTCTCCCGGGCGATCCATCTGCTTCGCTCAGCTGCTCTCGCACCGCGGGGAGAGGTTTATTGTGCAAATCTTCCCTCCCCACCGCCAGCCGCGCCGTGTGACCCGGCTGCTCCCTGTCCGGGCACCGCGGGGACGGTGGGGACGGGGCCTGGCAGCCGCTGGCAGCATCACCGCGGCGCCTGCAGCAGAGCCCGAGCGGTGCCCGAGCGTTTCGGGGCTCGGCACAAGCGGGCGGGGCGAACCCCGCAGCCCCCCAGCCTCGGGGTCCATCCGGAGCTGGGCCCAGGCGGGAAAGGCGTCGCCAGCTCCTGTTTCCTACCAGCGATGCCTTCCAGAGGGCCGGGCCCGGGGACGGGCATCCCTCCAGAAAACAACAATGCCCAGGGAGCCGCCAGCGCGGCCGCCCGGGGCGGGATGCGGCCGGGGGGGATTAGGGAGCAGGGCCCCGGGCCGAGGCTGCCGTCACGGCTGGGCAGGATTAGGGCGCTCGGCTGCATTAGGTGTCCATTTAGGTTTTAGGAGGGATTTGGGGCCAAGCTCTGGGTTTTAATTCTGAAATGTTTAACCACTGATTCCTCATGGCTCCGGGGGTGGATGGCGTGGGGTCAGGTGCCCGTGAGCCGGGGGCTGCTGGAGCCCCTGGGGCAGGGGATTTGGGGACAGAGGGGACACAGGGGCTGGGGGATGTGTCTCAGGGTGTCTCCTTCAGTGTGTCCCCCAGGAGAGCCGCGGCTTCGTCCTCGGGAGGTACCTGTGCAGGTGCAAGCCGGGTTTCTATGGGACTGATGGAGTGGCCAGCAGTGCCTGGGCAGGTGGGTGCCACCAGGCCCCGGGGTCCCTGCTGTCCCCAGCGGCACATGGACACAGCAGTGGGGACCAGGCCTGGGGGGCTTTGGGGACACAGAACACGTGCCCTGGTGTGGGGGGTGCCACCAGGCCCTGGGGTGTGCTGATCCTGCCTGGGAAGCGCTGATCCCACCTGGGGTGTGCTGATCCCCCCTGGGGTGTGCTGATCCCACCTGGGGTGTGCTGATCCCACCCAGGATGTGCTGATCCCACCCGGGGTGTGCTGATCCCACCCGGGGTGTGCTGATCCCACCCGGGATGTGCTGATCCCACCTGGGATGTGCTGATCCCCCCTGGGATGTGCTGATCCCCCCTGGGGTGTGCTGATCCCACCTGGGATGTGCTGATCCCACCCGGGGTGTGCTGATCCCACCTGGGAAGTGCTGATCCCACCCGGGATGTGCTGATCCCACCCGGGATGTGCTGATCCCACCTGGGGTGTGCTGATCCCACCTGGGATGTGCTGATCCCACCCGGGGTGTGCTGATCCTGCCTGGGATGTGCTGATCCCACCTGGGGTGTGCTGATCCCACCTGGGATGTGCTGATCCCACCTGGGAAGCGCTGATCCCACCTGGGGTGTGCTGATCCCACCCCAGTGCCGTGTTCCCCCCTGGCCATCGCTCTGTCCCCAGGTGTGGCAGGGACAGACGGGGGGTCCCGGCTGGGGTGCCGCCCGTGCCGCCCGGGCTGTGCCACCTGTGAGGACGACACCCCCTGCCTGATCCAGGAGGACCAGGTGCTGCGGGCAGCGGTGCTGTCGTGCCAGGCCTGCTGCATGCTGGCCATCTTCCTCAGCATGCTCGTGTCCTACCACTTCCGACGGAGCAAGGCAAGCTGTCCCCCCCGTGTGCCCCTGCTCCGCTGTCCCTCCAAACCCTGCAGGGTCAGGGATGCCCCTGCCCTGGCCCTGGCCCCTCCAAGGCTGCACCCTCATGCTGGTATCCCTGCAGAGGATCCGGACATCAGGAATCATCCTGCTGGAGACCATCCTCTTCGGGTCCCTCCTCCTCTACTTCCCCGTGAGTACCCAGCTGCCCCCAGGGCTGGGAAGCTCCAGGATGGGGTTTCCAGGACGGAGCTGCCCCACGCAGGGCACGGCTCCATCTAATTGTTAATTTTGCTGGCACGGTCCCTGGGGGCTGCCGTATAAACCTTCTCAGAAAACCAAATCCCTTTTCTCCCGCTGCCTGCGGGAATTAATCCCTGCCCAAATCCCCTCTCCCCTCCCGCACGAGTGCAGCGGGAGCTGCGGGGTCACGGGGGAGGTGGCACGGGGCTGGCCTGAAAAGCAGGTGGCTCCCGAGGCTGGGGCAGGTGGGATCCAGCCCGGGTCCCTCTCTCCCACGCTCCAGGTGTTCATCCTGTACTTCAAGCCCAGCATCTTCCGCTGCATCGTCCTGCGCTGGGTGCGGATGCTCGGCTTCGCCATCGTCTACGGCACCATCACCCTCAAGCTCTACAGGTAGCTGGGATGGGGGACTGGGGGCTCGGGACCCCCACAGCAGGAAGGGTTTGGGGCTCGGGACCCCCACAGCAGGAAGGGTTTGGGTGTTAAGGACACCCATGGCAGGGAGGGCTTGGGGAGGCTGGGAGGCTTGGGACCCCTGTGGTGGGAAGGGCTGGGGGCTTGGGACCCCCCACAATGGGGAGGACTGGGGGCTCAGGGCCCCCAGAGTGGGAAAGGTTTGGGTACTCAGGACCCTCAGAGTGCGGAGGGCTTGGGACCCCCAAAATAGGATGGGTTGGGGTCTCAGTGGGACGGATTGGGGTCCCAGTGGGATGGGTTGGGGTCTCACTGGGATGGGTTGGGGTCTCACTGGGATGGGCAGGGGTCCCAGTGGGATGGGCAGGGGTCTCACTGGGACGGGCAGGGGTCTCACTGGGACGGGCAGGGCTCTCACTGGGGTGGGTTGGGGTCTCACTGGGATGGATTGGGGTCTCACTGGGCTGGGTTGGGGTCTCACTGGGATGGATTGGGGTCTCACTGGGACGGGCAGGGGTCTCAGTGGGATGGGCAGGGCTCTCACTGGCATAGGCAGGGGTCTCACTGGGACGGGCAGGGGTCTCACTGGGATGGGCAGGGGTCTCACTGGCACAGGCAGGGCTCTCACTGGCACAGGCAGGGCTCTCACTGGCACGGGCAGGGCTCTCACCCTCCTGCCCCGCAGGGTGCTGAAGGTGTTCCTGTCGCGCACGGCCCAGCGCGCTCCCTACGTGTCGAGCGGGCGGGTGCTGCGCATGCTGGCGCCCATCCTGCTGCTGGTGCTGTGGTTCCTGGCGGCCTGGACCATTGGCATGCTGGAGAACGCCCGCAAGAACATCCCGCTGGTCGTCCGCGCCCAGACCAGCCGCGGCCTGCGCTTCTCCCTCTGCGGCCACGACTGCTGGGATTACATGATGGTCATCGGTGAGACCGGCCCCCGGCACGGCTGGGGGACCCCACGGCCCCCACCCCGGGACTGCGGGGCTTTCATTCTCTCATCTGTTTAATCTTCCTGAAAGCTGCAAGGACCTGGGGTGCCCACAGCTCCACAACCCCATCCCATGACTGTAGACCTTTCATTCCTTTGTCTATTTAATCCTCCTGGAGGCTGCAAGGACCTGGGATTCCCACAGCCCTGAGACCCCATCCCATAATTTGGGGCTCTTATTTCCTTGTCCCTTTAATCCTGGAGGTTTCAAGGAGGGTTGGGGTCCCCCAGCTGCCTCCCACCCTCCCCCCGAGCATCCCCTGGGGTTGAGTCCCAAACTTTGGGAAGGCCGTGCTGGGGTTTTCTCCAGACCTGGCTCATTCCAGGGTGAGGGTGGTGGACAGCAGCTGAGCACCCCAAAAGCTGCTGGGGCTGGGTGTGGCCGCTCAGGGTGTGTCCTGCTCTGCCCCACAGCCGAGATGCTGTTCCTGCTGTGGGGCAGCTTCCTGTGCTACGCCACTCGTGCCGTGCCCTCGGCCTTCCACGAGCCCCGCTACATGGGCATCGCCCTCCACAACGAGCTCATGGTCTCTGCCACCTTCCACGTGGTCAGGTAGGGCCAGGAACCGAGGTCCCACCCCTGGGGATGCTCAGGAACCGTGCCACGGTGGGGAGGGTTTGGGTGCCCTGGATCTCCAAAGGAAAGGGGGTTTGGGTGCTCGGGACTCCCGCAGTGGGAAGGGTTTGGGTGGCCGGGCAGGGGGGCTGTGGGGTCTGGAGGTGGGGAGGGGCTGTGGTGGCAGCTGGCACTGCCCTCCTGGTCCCTTCCAGGTTCCTGATTGTCCCCTCACTGCACCCGGACTGGACTCTGCTGCTCTTCTTTGCTCACACCCACGGCACCATCACCATGACCCTGGCCCTGCTCTTCATTCCCAAGGTATTCCAGGGAAGACACGGAGCTGGGGAAGGGGCTGGAGCACCACAAGAGGCTCAGGAAGCTGGGGGGGCTCAGCTGGGAGAAGAGGAAGCTCAGAGGGACCCTCTGGCTCTCCACAAGTCCCTGACAGGACCTGGGGAGGGTTGGGCTCTGCTCCCAGGGAATGGGGACAGGAGGAGAGGGAACGGCCTCAGGCTGGGCCAAGGGAGGTTTGGGTTGGATACTGGGGAAATTTCTCATGGAGAGGGTGATCAGGCACTGGAAGCAGCGGAGTCCCCACCCCTGGAAGTGCTCGAGGTGTGGCTGTGGCACTGGGGACATGGGGTGAGCGGTGGCTTTGCCAGCGCCAGGGGAACTGCTGGACTCGCTGTCCTCAGAGAGCTTTTCCAGCCTGCACAATTCCACGGTTCCATCGCTAACACTCATCCCAGAGGCTCGGGGAGCGGGGCCAGGACCCCCCGAGTGACTGCCCCGTGTCCCCGCGCAGTTCCTGCACACGGGCTCGCCGCTGCGGGAGGAGATCACGGCCGAGGTGTACGAGGACGAGCTGGACATGCGGCGCTCGGGCTCCTGCATGAACAGCAGCATCGCGTCCGCCTGGAGCGAGCACAGTCTCGACCCCGATGACATTCGGGTGGGTGGCACACTCAGGACCTTCTTTTGACGCTAGCTGTGCAGAGTAAGAGGTGCCTTTCGCAATCTTTTCCTGATGCAAAGCAGAGGGAGGGGACGAGGGGGTGCAGGGTGAGCGCACCCGGGTGGGCAAACCCGCTGCGTTCCCTGGGCGGCGCGGGGGCTTCGGGGGCATCGGGAGAACCCGGGGCTCGGCGGGGCGGTCCCGGCCGCAGCCCCCGCTGTAGGCGCTCTCCTCTCTCCCTTCTCTCTGCCGCGTCCCCCCGCCCGCGGCGCAGGAGGAGCTGAAGAAGCTTTACCGGCAGCTAGAGGTGCACAAGACGTGGCGGATGGCGACCAACAACCCGCACCTGGCCAAGAAGCGCAGCTCCCGCCGCAGCCTCGCCCGCTCCATCCTGCGCCGCAGCGGCGCCGAGCTGGCCGAGAGCGCGTCCCGCCGCAGCAGCGCCGGGGACCGGGGACCGGGCGGGGACCCCGTCCCGCCGCAGCTCCTCGGCCAAGCGGCTCGTGGATGCAGCCGGGACGGGCCCGAGGATGCGGGACGAGAGCTCCCGGCGCCGCTCCTCGGCCCTGCGCAAGTCCCGCAGCTCCGAGGGGCCCCCGCGGGAGCCCCGCCGAGGGTCGCGCAGCCCCAGCCCGCCCGAGGAGCCTCCGCCGGCGGCCGCGGCGGACCCGGAGCAGTCCGACAGCGACTCGCTGGACGCCGCCCCGCTCCTGTGCAAATCGGCCAGCGCCCAGAACCTGGCGGGGCACTGGCAGCGACCCCCGGGCCGCGCCCCGCCGCTGCAGAAGTCGCACAGCGTTGTCAGCGGGGCGCGGGAAGCGGCGCTGCTGGCCGCCCGCAGGGCCAGCCGCGAGCAGTGGCACGGCGGCCGCCACCTCTCCGCGCCGGCCCCCGCGGTCAGCAGCGGCACCGCGACACCTCCGAGCCCCGCCGAGAGGGGCCCGCAGGAGGACGCGGCCCCGCCGGGCGACGCCAAGGGACACAAGCATGTCACCTACGCGCCCATCAAGAGCGTCAGCGTTGACAGCGCCCACCCGGCCAGGAAGGTGCGGGTGACCGTGAAGAAAACGCCTCCTGCGCCCCCCGTCCGCTACCAGAGCCTGCAGCGCTCGGGGACGCTCGGGGACGGCCCGGAGCCACCGCCGGGCCCCCCGGCACGGGCGGGAGAGGCGCAGGGGACAGCAGGGCCCGACCCGGAGCGCGCGTCCCCCCCGGCAGGGACGGGCAGGCCGCTGGCCCCGAGCGCCAGCGCGGCACACGTCTGTCCCTGGGAGCTGGTGCAGGACGAGATCCTGGGCAGGAAACAAAAAGCGGCCGAGGCGGCCGAGTCGGGGACCCCCGGTGACGCAGCGGCCGCCACCCCCGGCCCCAAGCCGCCCCCCACGAAGAGTTTCCGGAGCCTGGGACTCGCCATCAAAGCCCTCAACCGCTCCAGGGGGAAGAGCGTCCCGAAAGGGAAAAGCGAGGGGAGCCTCAGGAAGAGGGGGAGCAGCAGGAGGGAGAAGTGCGGCCTGGCAGAGGCCTCGGCCGTGTCCCTCGGGGGGGGCAGCCCCGAGGGGAGCGGGCAGAGCCTCGAGGTCCCCGCCCTCCAGCACAACAACAACGCCGCCACCGCCGGGGAAGCCGCGGGCTGGGGCGACAGCGGGACAGGAGGACAAGGGGACAGCCCGGCCGCGGCAACAGGCGGTGGGGGACAAAGCGGCCGAGGAGCCCCGCGCTGCCCGAGCGAACGCGGGTACCGCTCTGGAGCCACCCAGCGCGGGCCACCAAGGGGCTGAATGTCCCCCGGAGGTGGCACGGGTACAGCCCCGGAAAGGGGACCAGGCTCCGGCAGCGGATCTGCGGGAGGACGTTCCTGGGGTCGCAGCGGAGGAAGGGACCCTTGAGGAGCTCGAGGGGACCAGCGGGTCCTGCCAGCCCCGGGAGGAGCAGCCCCGGGAGGAGCCGCCGCCTGCGAAGCCCAGCCCGAGCAGCGTGCGGGGGCCGAGGCCGCCCGGCTGGCCCGGAACGCCGGCAGGAAGGGGAGCCTTGCTGCGCCAGGCCGCGATCGCCCCCCGGGAGGATGGAGGGACCCCAGAGAGCCCGGAGAAGGCGCTGGAAGAGGGGAGCGGCCAGGCCGAGCCCGAGCGGGGCCCCGGAAGGAGCGGGAGCGGGGCCGGGAGCGCGCAGGGCGAGCTCGGCGCTGGGGGAACGCGCGGAGATCCCAGCTCCAAAGCCGGAATCTGCCCCGGGAAGGGCGGCAGCGAGGGGGATTCTCAGCGCTCTCCGGGCATGGAAAAACCAGCAGGGCCGCTGAAAGTGGCCTCGGAGCAAGCCGAGGGCAGGAGGGCTGAGGTGTGCCCGTGGGAGAGCCGGGAACAGGGAAGGAGTGTCCGAGCCGAAATCTGCCCCTGGGACACAGAGGGGGCTCTGCCGGAGCAGGGATCCCCCCGATCTGGAGAAGGTGTGGAGCAGCCTGGGATGGGGCTCGCGGGGAAACCCCCCAGCTCTGCCCAAACCCTCATCCCAGCGGACTGGAACCACGGAGAGCAAAAAGGCAAACATCTGTCCCTGGGAGGTGGAGGATGAGCCGCGCCCAAAGCCAGAGATCTGCCCCTGGGAAGAGGCTGCGGCTCCCTCGGGGAAGGAGAGGTTGAGGCAGGACACGCGTGGCACCCCCAAAGGGGAAGAAAAAGTGGGATCCAGAGCACCAGAAAAAAGGAAAGCAGCCCCCAGCCAAACCCCTGCCCAAATCTCCTTCAGGGAGATCCCAGAGCTTGGAGAAGGCAGAGATCTGTCCCTGGGAGTCTCAGGGCTCTAAATCCAGTGACAAAGCTGAAATCTGTCCCTGGGAGGTGGCTGAACCTCAGCTGGAGAAGGGGAGCCAAGACCGAGTGTCCATCTGTCCATGGGAGAGCCTGGACACGGAGCAGCCCCCAGCCAAACCCCACACCGGGAGCTCAGCACTGCCCAGAGCAGCTCCAGGGAAATCCCAGAGCTCAGAGAAGGCAGAGATCTGTCCCTGGGAGTCTCAGGACGTTGAATCCAGCAGCAAAGCCAAAATCTCTCCCTGGGAGGTGGCTGAACAACCCTTGGGTAAAGAGAAACCCAGACAGGACAAAGAGGATCCACCCAGGGTGAGAAAAAGCCCTTCCACAAGTCAAGGATTCCTGAAGGAAGTGGGAAAGAAGGACCGAGAGTCCATCTGTCCTTGGGAGAGCCTGGACACGGAGCAGCTCCCAGCCAAACCCCAGACTGGGAGCTCAACACTGCCCAAAGCAGCTCCAGGGAAATCCCAGAGCTCAGAGATCTGTCCCTGGGAGAGTCAGGACCTCAAATCCACTGGCAAAGCTGAAATCTGTCCCTGGGAGAGTCAGGACCTCAAATCCACTGGCAAAGCTGAAATCTGTCCCTGGGAGAGTCAGGACCTCAAATCCACTGGCAAAGCTGAAATCTGTCCCTGGGAGGTGGCTGCACCTCAGATGGAAAAAGGAACTGGCCCAGGTAAGGAGAAACTCCCAAGAAAAGAGGAAAGCAAAGCTCTGGAGAAGGGGAGCAGAGAGAGGGAATCGATCTGTCCTTGGGAGAGCCCGGACATGGAGCAGCCTCTGGCCAAACCCCAGACTGGGGGCTCAGCACTGCCCAGAGCAGCTCCGGGGAAATCCCAGAGCTCAGAGAAGGCAGAGATCTGTCCCTGGGAGTCTCAGGACTCTAAATGCAGTGACAAAGCTGAAATCTGTCCCTGGGAGGTTGAATCCAGCGGCAGAGCCGGGATCTGTCCCTGGGAAGTGGCCGAGCCTCCCTGCCAGCAGCCAAAGGCACAGCCGGTCCCTGCTGGGGGCCCCAAGCGCATCAGGCGCCAGGCGGCGCTGGGCAGCCCCGAGAGGCCCCGCGACAGCAGAGACAGAGCGTCCGTCTGTCCTGGGGAGAGCCTGGACACACCACAGCCTCTGGCCAAACCCCAAAGTGGGAGCTCAGCACTGCCCAGAGCCCCTGCAGGGAAATCCCCGAGCTCAGAGAAGGCAGAGATCTGCCCTTGGGAGTCTCAGGGCTCTAAATGCAGTGACAAAGCTGAAATCTGTCCCTGGGAGGCGGCTGAACCTCAGCTGGAGAAGGGAACAGCCCCAGGTAAGGAGAAACTCCCACCAAGAGAAGCCTCCAAAGCCGTGGAGAAGGGAAGAGAGTCCATCTGTCCTTGGGAAAGCCAAGATTTGGAGCAGCTCCAGGCCAAACCCCAAACTGGGAGCTCAGCACTGCCCAAAGCCCCTTCAGGGAAATCCCAGAGCTCAGAGAAGGCAGAGATCTGTCCCTGGGAGACTGAATCCAGCAGCAAAGCTGAAATCTGTCCCTGGGAGTCTCAGGGCTCTAAATGCAGTGACAAAGCTGAAATCTGTCCCTGGGAGGCGGCTGAACCTCAGCTGGAGAAGGGAACAGCCCCAGGTAAGGAGAAACTCCCACCAAGAGAAGCCTCCAAAGCCGTGGAGAAGGGGAGCAGAGCCCGAGAGTCCGTCTGTCCATGGGAGAGCCTGGACACAGAGGAGCTGTCCCTGAAATCTGCAGTGGGGAAGGAGCCATCCAAGAAACCCAGCAGCACGGAGAGCAGGAAATCTGCAATTTGCCCCTGGGAAGCAGCAGAGCCCATTGGGTTGGAGGAGGAGATGTCCCAGGCAGGTGTGCAGCCACAGGGAGCGCAGAGAGGTTCCCCTGCAGGGATGGGACAGCCGGGAGCCAGCGCTGTGTCTCCAACACTTGTGGAAAAATGCAGGGGCAGATCCCAGGGGGAAGCCGAGCACAAGCCCCTGTGCCGGCTCCTGCCCAGCATGCAGCACCCAGGGCTGGGCAGCAGCTCCAGCCCCGGCGCCGGCCTGGCTGAGGTTTGTCCTTGGGAAGCTGGAGAGGCTCCAGCAGCACCTGCCAGGCCCAGGCTGGGCATGAGGAAAAGCTCTGAGGTGCGGGAGGAGGAGAGCACGGAGCCCTCCCAGACCCGCCCCGGGCAGGGCAGAGCCCGGGATGGGGAGTGAGGGGAGCCCAGCACCAGGGGCTCATCCATCCATGGATCCATCCACCCATCCATCCATCCTTCCATGGATCCATCCATCCATCCATGGATCCATCCCTCCACTCATCCATCCATCCATCCATGGATCCATCCATCCATCCATCCATCCCTTTGTCCTTTCCATCCCTCCATGGATCCATGGATCCATCCATCCCTTTGTCCTTTCCATCCCTCCATGGATCCACCCCTCGATCCATCCTGATCCCCCCTGCCCAGCCCCAGAGCTGGGCTGGGGGGTGTGGGGCTGAAGCTCCTGGTTGTGCAATTTTGTGTAAATGCAGGAAATAAACGGAATTAATTATCTTCGGCGTGTGCTCAGAGAGAGGCTCACTGAGAGGTGGGGAGAGCTGGGAAGGGGCTGGAGAGGAAATCCAGCAGTGCAGGGGCTGAGGGACAGAGGCTGGGAAGGGGCTGACTGGAAGGAAAGGCCATTCTCCCAAAAAACGCCTTTAAATTCAGAGTCAGGGCTGGGGAACCCCCAGAACCCCAGGTTTGGAGGGAAGGGACCTTAAATCCCACCCAGGGACGCCTCCCACTGACCTTGGGCACTGCCAGGGATCCAGGGCAGCCACGGCTGCTCTGGGGATTCCATCCCAGCCCCACAGCGCCCACCCAGGGAGGAATTCCTTCCAAATATTCCATCTCTCCTGCCCTCTGGAGCCCATTCCCTGTATCCTGTCCCTTCGTCCCTCTGTCCATCCTCAGGGCTTCTTCAGGGAATCCTCAATGAAGCCACCCCAAAAAAATCCCCTTTTCCTGAACAATCCCAATCCTCTCCCCGCTCTGGGTTCAGGAATTCCATCCCCTCCTGCCCCGAGATCCATGGAGGGGTCTGAGCTCCCACACTCTGCTCCTGAGCGAGGCAGAGGCTCCATGGAGAAGATTCTTTTTAGGAACAGAGGGATTGTGACACCCCAGTGACATCCCAAAGGACATGGCAGGGATTGCACTGCTGGCTCCTCTCCCAGCACAGCACAAAGAGGAGGCCCTGCCCTCCCAAAAGGAACACTGAGGAGCAAAAAGGAGCCACAGCTCCCCTTTCAACAGCTCTGCAAAGTCTCTCTCAAGGAAGAAATAAAAATTCCCTGAACTCTCCCATGCTCTGGAAGTGGCCGAGTTAAAAAGCAGGACAGGAAGGAGAAAAGGGTTTGTTCTTGGGTGAGCAGGGAGGATTCTTCTCTGTGAGTGAGGAGAACTGGCTGAGCAGAGCAGGAGTAGAGAAGGAGACTCACAGAGGAGGAAAAAGGAACCCAGGCAAAGCAGGGACAGCTGCAAATGTCCCCGTGTCCACAGGATGGTGCCACTCCCTCGGTGACAGCACCAGCTCTGCCACCAACACCAGCCCGTGTGAGGAAACAAAACTGAAATTAAATCCAATTATCAGCTGTGCTGCAGCTCCTCTGGGCAACCCCAAAGGCAGCACTCCCCTCACCACAGAACTTGAATTAAATTTTCCTGGTTTCTGTTAAAAAATAGGAATTTGTGAATCAGCAGAGAAAGAGAGGTGGGAGAACACAGGTGAAGTTTTAATGGCTGGGCAGCAGCTCTGTGACCCCTCCCAGGGAGGTGACAAATGTTCCAAGGGCTCTCCCAAGGAATTCCAGGACAGAGGGCGGCTGTGGATCCCAGGGCTCCTCATCCTCAGGGAAACCCAGCGAGGGGGAGGCTGCAGCACACGGAGTGCGGGACAGAGCCGAGCTCTTCCCACAGCTCATCCAGGTCCTGCTCCCTGCTCCTGGAGGGGCAAATCCGGAGTGGCTGGAGCCCATTCCCTGTTTGTTATCCCGGTCCACGTTCCAGAACCTTCTACTTCACTGTTTCGTGCTCCTGTGAGGGATCCGGGGCTGGAATCATCACGGTCTGCAAAAGCAAGGGACAAAAATCAGCAGGAAAAAGGGGAGCAGAAGGTTCTGGAAAGGGAAAAAAGGGGGATCAGAGGGAGGCAGGAGAAGGGAAGGGGATGGGAAGCCTCGAATCACACTGGAGTTCTCCCCTCCTTGTTCTCCACGATCTGTTTTTAGTAACAGAGGGAGGCAGAGACAATTATGGAGGTCGGGCAGAGGGGGAAATAATTCCCAAAATTATCCCAGACTCGCCCTCAGCCATTCCCGACCCTCAGCCTGCCAGGGAACAACTCCATGGCCATTCCAAACAGCTCTGCCCATGGATGAACCCCCCACCTTCCCCTCCCAGGCAGCTCAGCTTTGTCCAGGATGATCCCCAGGGATTTGCATTTTCCCCCAGGGATTTGCATCTCCCAGCCCTTTCCCACCTTAATGATGGGATCCTTGGGCGGGGCCCACTCTGGGACGATCTTGCCGTGCATCCTCCAGGTTCCATAGGGGTTCACCAGGTACCTCTCAAACACAACATATTCCAGAACATCCTTGGGAATCTCCTCCCCGCCGTACATGAGCCGCCCAAAGCGGTCATAGATGGCCAAAATCTGTCAAAAGATCCAGAAAACGGCCCCAGGATGGATGGGGTTTGGAGCGACCTGGGAGAGTGAGAGGCGTCCCTGCCCATGGGATGGGATTTATGGGATTCCAACCCAAAAAAAAGCTGGGATTCTCTGTGCTGGGCTGGCAGCACGTTGGGGTTGGTGAGGGAAGATGCAGAGAGGGATTTTCCTAGAAAGAAAGGCTGGGAAAATTGGGATTGGTCATCCTGGAGAAGGCTCCTGGGTGATCCAACTGTGACCTGGGACAGTGGGAGGTGCCCCTGCCCAGGGCAGGGGTGGAGTAGGATGGGATTTGGGGGCTTTCCAACCCCAAAAGAGGCTGGGATCTCTGTGCTGGGTGGGCAGAATTTTGGGATTGGTATCACCGAGGTGAGGGAAGATGAAGGGATGGATTTTTCTAGGAGGAAAGGCTGGGAAAATTGGGATTGAACATCCTGGAACCTTCTCCAGGATGATCCAACTGTGACCTCCCAGAAAAGGCTGGGAAAATGGGGATTGATAATCCTGGAGAAGGCTGCTGGGTGATTCAAGTGACCTCTCAGGAAAAGCTGGGAAATTTAGGATTGTTCACCCTGGAGAGGGCTCCTGGGTGATCCAAGTGTGACCTCCCAGGAAAGGGTGGGAAAATTGGGATTGTTCACCCTGGAGCAGGCTGCTGGGTGATCCAAGTGTGACCTTCCAGGAAAGGCTGGGAACATTGGGATTGAACATCCAGGAGCTTTCTTCAGGATGATCCAACTGTGACCTCCCAGAAAAGGCTGGGAAAATGGGGATTGATAATCCTGGAGAAGGCTCCTGGGTGATTCAAGTGACCTCTCAGGAAAAGCTGGGAAATTTAGCACTGTTCACCCTGGAGCAGGCTGCTGGGTGATCCAACTGTGACATTCCAGAAAAGGCTGGGAAAATGGGGATTGATAATCCTGGAGCCTTCTCCAGGATGATCCAACTGTGACATTCCAGGAAAGGCTGGGAAAATGGGGACTGTTCACCCTGGGGCAGGCTGCTGGGTGACGGGGGCAGCGGGAGGTGTCCCTGCCCTCCGGCCCAGGCTCACCTGGCGGCTGTGCATCCTCACTGTCACCTGCCCGTAGAGGTTGCCCCGGTTCAGGATGCCCTCACAGCGCACGTGCACCACCCTGGGGGGCTCCAGGGACTCCAGGAACCTCCAGCGGATGGTTCTGTACCTGTTCCCACGCACCATGTCCTGCCAGCAGACATCAGCTCGGAATTAATTCAATTATCATCAATGATTTGTTCGCTCCTCCCAGCGAAAACCAGCTCCGACTCTGCTGGTGCTTTCTGGGCACTGGAACAGCCACGACCCCAGAGCTGGGAGGGATTGTTGGGATTGTGCTGATCCCTGGGGGTCCTTTCCATCCAGCTGAGACACCCCAGAATTCCCCAGAATTCCAGGCACTTACGGGGGTAGCAGCGCTCGGTCACCAGGGAGTGAAGCTTCTGCTTGTTAAAGCTGCAGAGGAAACGCCCCGGTCACCTCAGCACAGGAAAAGAGGTTCCTCAAAAACTCCTGCTTTCCCCTCAAATCCCTGCTTTCCCCTCAAATCCCACCTTTCCTCCCACACAAATTCCTGCTTTCCCCTAAAATTCCTGCATTCCCCACAAATTCCTGCTTTTCTCCCCACACAAATTCCACCTTTCCCCCCCACAAATTCCCTCTTTTCTCCCCACACAAATTCCCTTTTTTCCCCACACACAAATTCCACCTTTCCCCCACACAAATTCCCGCTTTTCTCCCACACAAATTCCACCTTTCCCCCACACAAATTCCCGCTTTTCTCCCACACAAATTCCACCTTTCCCCCACACAAATTCCCGCTTTTCTCCCACACAAATTCCACCTTTCCCCCACACAAATTCCCGCTTTTCTCCCACACAAATTCCACCTTTCTTCCCACACAAATTCCCACTTTTCCCCCACACAAATTCCTGCTTTTCTCCCCACACAAATTCCACTTTTCCCCCACACAAATTCCTGCTTTTCTCCCCACACAAATTCTACTTTTCCCCCCACAAATTCCTGCTTTTCTCCCCACACAAATTCCACCTTTCCCCCCCACAAATTCCTGCTTTCTCCCCACACAAATTCCCTTTTTTCCCCCCACACAAATTCCACCTTTTCTCCCCACACAAATTCCACCTTTTCCCCCACACAAATTCCACCTTTTCCCCCACACAAATTCCACCTTTTCCCCCCACAAATTCCCACTTTCTCCCCACACAAATTCCTGCTTTTCTCCCCACACAAATTCCTGCTTTTCTCCCCACACAAATTCCTGCTTTTCTCCCTACACAAATTCCACTTTTCCCCCACAAATCCCAGCTCCCCATGGGCCAGGGAAGGGCCTTACTTTGCCAGGGAGTTGTGGGCCTCAATAAATATCTCCTGGGCTTTCTCAGGGAAGGTTTTGGTGCTGAAATCCGGGTCGTGATCCTTGATCTTCCGAAGGCTGGGAAAGAAAGGAATTAAGGAAAGAACAGAATTCGAGCTGTCCTGGACATTTGGATCCTACAGGATTCAATCCCAGCTTTTATCAGCTGAGAACATGGGATCCCCCACTAAGACAAAACCTTCAGGTGATCATAAAAGAGCCAAATCCAAAGAATCCTAAAAGAATTGGGAGTGCACAGCGTGGCTGCTCCCAGCAGGAGAGGTGGGAACTCCTGGGGAAGGGGAACCAACAACAAAAATGGGAAAAACAGGGAGGAAACAGCCCCTTAATCCTAAAAATCACCCAGAGATCCCTCAGCCCCCTCACAGAGGAGGTTTGGTGGAGGTTGAGAGGGTGTGGGGGGTTTGGGGGGTTGACCCTGGAGGGGATTTAGGGGGTCCTGGGTGGCTTGGAGGTGACTGGAGGGAACACAAGGGGGGGTCACAGGGGGGTCCTGGGTGGATTGTGGGAGTTTTGAGGGGATTTGGGGTGGCCTGGAGGGAATGCAAGGGGGTCACATTGGGGTGCTGGGTGGGTTTGTGGGAGTTTTGAGGGGATTTGGGGTGGCCTGGAGGGGAACTGGGGGAGGAGTATCTCCCATGGACAGACAGGACAGGCCAAGCAGCAGGTTCATTACGCTAATTAGCTAACGAGGGGTACGTACGCCAGCTGGGAGGCCGCTGTTTGCCTCAGCTTCTGCATCTGCTGCGTCACCCCGTCCTTGGAGAGCGAGGTCAGGCGGGCATCGCCCTCGGGAGGGACGTAGGGATCCATGATCTCAGCTGGGGTGGGGGAAAAGCAGCTCAGGGGGAGGCTCAGAGCCCAGGGGATGAGCAGGGGAAATGGGAGAATTTCTGAGAGACAGCTCCTGGGATAAGCTCATACACAGGTGCTGAGCTCTGCTGTTCCCTCACAATGCACGGAAGAGGGGAAAATGGCTTCAAAATGAAGATTAGAGGGGATTTTGGGAAGGAATTCCTCCCTGAAAGGGTGGGAAGGGGTTGGGATGGAATTCCCAGGGCAGCTGTGGCTGCCCCTGGATCCCTGGAACTGTCCCAGGCCAGGCTGGACAGGGTTCAGAGCCCCCGGTATTGGGGAAGGCGTCCCTGCCCATGGCAGGGGTGGCACTGGAGGGGCTTTCCCAAGCCAAACCCCTCTGAGATTCCAGGATTCAAGTAAAAGGCACCAACAGCTTTGGAGATCAGGCAGGGAGGCCTCTCCCCCGGCCAGAAGGAGCAGTGGGGAAGGAATTCAGTCTGATCCTCTCTCTGTCACATCACCGGGGCCAGGCTGAGTGCGCCGTGCTGCCGTACCCGTGCAAGCCAAGAAGAAGGTGCGCTCCATGCGCTCGTCCGGGAAGATCGGCGCCGCGGACCGGAGCCGCCTCTGCCTCTCCTCGGGGCTCAGCTCCCGGGCCCACTCGGGCAGCCGCGGGCCCTTCCTCCTGCTCCGCACCGGCACAACCACACAGGGCGGCAGCGCCCCGGGACGGAGCAAGGACTCAGCGGCCTGAGGGGAGGCAAAGGCAGAGCCCGGAGTGAGCCCCGCACCGCCAGGCCTGAATTGATTTCCCCTTACGCCTCGCACGCGCCACGGCCCCCCGCGCTCTCCCTCACCCTCAGCGCCCGCCCCGCTCATCCCGCGGCCCCACGGCCGCTCCCCGTGGCCCCTCAGGCCGCTTTCCCGGCCGCACCTTCCAGCAGAGCCGCGGGGCCCTGCGGCCCAGCCCCGCCGCCATGGCGGCCGCCATCTTTGCGCTGCCGCGGGGGATGGCGGGAACGGGGAGGGCGGGGCCGCGCGGAGGGGGGGAGGTGTGGGCGGGGCCGCGCGGGGGCGCGCGCGCGCGGGAAGGGGCGTGGCCGGCGGGAGCCCGCGCCGCGCCCGCGAGTGGAAAATTCCATCGGCTGCGGAGGCCGGGAGGGCGGGGCCAGCGCGGGAGGCTCCGCCCACCCCCCGAGCGCGCGGAGGGGGGACCCCCGTGCGTGGTGCAGTGCGGGGGGCGGGGGGGATGGCACTGCCCCCATCCCCCACCCCCCCACACGGGTCACGTGCGACACGCGGGACCCCCACCCTGCCCCATGCGGGGGATGCTGCGGGTGTCGGAGCCCCCCCAGACCTGCAGAGACCCCCTCCGGATCTGTAGTGACCCCCTATGGACCTGCGGAGACCCCCCCCGTAACCCGCGGGGCATTCCCGGACACGCACAGCTCCCCCTGGACCTGCAGAGCCACCCCCGGACCTGCAGAGCCCCCCCCGGACCGCCAGATTTGCCCCCCCAGACCCGCAGGGCCCCCCCAGATGTGCATAGCCCCTCCCTCGGGCACGCAGGACCCCCTCCCCGGATTTCCAGAACCCCCCGGATCCACAGAACCCCCCCAGGTTCCTGCACCCCCAGCAGCTCCGTGGGGTTTGTGCGATGCTTTTGGGATTTGCCATCGCAGCAGCTCCTGACGCTGGCGGGGAGGGGGGGGATATCGAGGGCAGGGGTCCCTCCAGATGTTCCTGGCACAGCCCAGGATGCGGCACCCCCGGGATGCTGCCCGCAGCGCAGGGGGCTCGGGGGTCCCTCCGAATATCCCGGGGACAATCCAGGATGCGGCACCCGCGTCCTAGAACACAAACCGGCTCATCCCAAACCCTCTTCCCTCGAAACCCCATCCCTGGGAGCCGCCGGGACACCCTGGGGATGCTCGTCACCCGCCCACGCCCGCGGGGCGAGGCCCGCGGAGCCAAAGGCGAGCCCGGCCCGGGGGTGCGAAGCCCGGGGGGGCCCTCGGGGGCGGGGGGCTCGCCGCGAGGCTCTGGCCGCGCTCACTGCGCCTGGCCCCGCTCCCAGTTTGCTTTGGGGACTGTTGATCTTGGCTCCGAGGACGCGTTGCTCCATCGGACAGCTGGTTAATGTGTAGTGACGGCTCCGCTGTGCCCGAGACCGTTGATCCCGGCCCGCGCTCTTATCTGGGCCGGGATGAGCCGGGAGCGGCCGTGCGGGGCCGGGCCGGGGCCGCGGGGGCAGCCGGGCCCCCCTGCCTGGGGGGATCGCGTCTGCTGCCCGCCAGCACCCCCCAAAATTCGGTGTGATGCTCACTGGGGTGTGCGGGGGGCAAAACCAGCAGAGAGCGCTTCCCGCAGCGCCCCGGTGGGAAAAGTGGAGCCCTCTGGAAAACTGAGATGAAGCCCCGGGGCTCCGGAGCCGATCCTGGAGCAGCCGGGGCTGAGTCACCGGCCCCAGAGCTTTCCCACGGCTCCCGACTCGTGGGGCTGGATTTTCCCAGCCCAGCTGGCTCTCCCGGATGGCCCGGATGCCATCCCGGCCGGTTTCACCTCCGTGGGCAGCGCTGACGGGCTTTGGAACCCCTCTGGAGCCACGTCCTTGCCCGTGGGGGGCTCAGCCTGTGAGCATCCCTGAGGAAATTTGGGATGGGGCCGAGGAGATGGCACCGGATGATGTCCCCAGCCCACCTGCGCTCTTCTCCTCGCAAAACCACCACGTGGGGAATTGTCCCGTGGGAGAGCGGGATCAGGGCTGGGATCAGGGCTCGGCACCCGCCCCGAGCTGTCCCCGCCAGCTCCAGGCAGGGGCTGGGCCACGTTTGCCTCCATCCTTGTGCAACCTGTCCCAGGTGCCCGGCGGTGAGGCGGGAGGGGACGGGCAGAGCCGCACGCACACGCGGAGAGGGGGAAATCCAGGGAAAACGCCTCCCAAGCCCCGCGGAGCAGGAGGCCCCGCAGCTCGGAGCGCTGCTGTCCCCGAATACCAGAGATTCCAGCCCTAAGCCGGCGGCCCAGACCTGCGGGGCAGGATTAGCCGGTGCCCTCCGGCTGCTCCCGCTCCCGGCAGCAACGGCGAAAACTCCGGCGAAACAGAGAGAAGAAAAGAAAAGCCTCTCATGGGAATTTAATTTTTTTTTTCTTTCTTCCCTCTTTTTAATTTTTTTTCCCCCTTGTTTTTCCTAATTAGAAAGGAGCACTGACAGCGGTTGGTGGCTCTGGGCTAATTACAGCTCCTGGCTTCCACCCCGTCCGTTTGTCCCCGGGCTCTCCGCAGTCTCGCACTACAGGAGAACCCGGTTTGGTCGGGACACGGCGGAGGAGGCGGCGTCGCCCCGGCTTTCTCCGCGGAGCCTCGCTCTTTTTCTCTCTTTCTTCCTTCTTCTTTTTTTTTTTTTTTTTTTTTTTTTTTTCCCTCTCCCGGATTCTTGCTGACAGCAGCATCTGTCACCTCCCAGCATCTCCCGTGCGGGGCAGCACCCGCGGGAAGCGCCCGGAGCCCTTTGCCAAGCACAAGCCCCGCGGCCACCGCGGCCACCGATCTCCCCCCGGCGGGCCAGGAGGGCACCCGGTGACCCCGCGGCCATCCGGGATGGGAATTAAAGCTGAGAGGAGACAATCCCCCCCGCTGCCCTCCCGCGGGGCCCAGCAGCTCCGCTCCAGGAATAGTTTTATCCTGGCCCTGACCTTCCCGTGGCTCTGCCAGGGACAGTCACCCGCGGCCACACGCGCTGCCAGCACCGAGGCCAGGCGGGAGGGGACGGGACTTTTGCCCTGGCAAAGTCGCCCAGCACGGCCGGGGCACAGCTGGGCTTCTCCTGCTGCCGTGGCCTCGGGGTGTCCCCAGCGTGGCACGGCCGGGCTGAGTCCAATTCCGTCCACGCCGGCTGCAAACCGGGCTGCACACGGAGCCTCCTCGCCGAGCCGTGGGGTGCAGCCCTTCCCTCGCTGCAGGGCAGACGGGGCTTTCCGCCCAGAACCCCGCCAGGATTCCATCAAACCCCAAAACACTCCTTGGCCCCGCTCGCAGCGCCGATGTCCCCCGCGCCCCGCCGCGGCGCTGCGAGCTGGCAGGACGGAGCAGGGCGGCAGCTGCCCAGCCCCCGCGCGGCTCCAGCTGTTTCCAGCTGTTTCCAGCTGTTCCCTTGTCTCCCCTTCCCTCCCCGGGGCTCTGCAGCACAATGCGGCCCCTCGGCAGCCCCGGATGAACCCGGGCTCGGCAGCGCTGGGTTTTTGTAACCATCTGCTGAGAGCCGTCTGTACTTTCTCCCTGCCCCAGTTCGTGCCGCCGGCTCCTCCAGGTCTCAGTGAATCCCCGCTCCCTCCCTGAAATCCCTGTTCCCTCCCTCGAACCCCTTCTCTCTACCTCAAATCCTATTCCCCTCCCCAAATCCCATCTCCCTCTCCTGAATTCCTGCTCCTTCCCTCAAACCCCTGCTCCCCCCTGCCTGGAATCTCCACTCTCCTCTTCAAATCTCTTTTCCCTCCTCAAATCCCTTTTCCCTCCTCAAATCCGTTTTCTTTCCCAAATCCCCAATCCCTCCTCGAATCCAGCTCCCCTCCCCAGATCCCTGCTCGCTCTCTCCACTCCCTGATCGATCTCTCCCCTGATCAGCACTAACTTATATGTTTTAAACAGCAAAGTATCACTTTTAACAAAAATAAATCTCGTTGGGGAAGGAATAGTGAGAAATAAACTGAAATACAGAGAGCAAAGAGGGAAACCGGGGTGTCCCAATATGGGGGCACCACTCCAGCTCTGCCCCCCGTCTGCACTGGGAGACCCAGGAGCTGTCATCCCCCTGAACTGGGAGTACTGGGAGCCCCGCTAACGGGGTGCCAGTGTCACCCCAAAACCAGGAGCCCCTGGGTGCACTGTGCCAACCCCCACCCAGGCCCGCTGCCCTGAGAGCCCACAGTTAACGGGGTGCCAGCATCTGCCCAAACCGGGAGCGCCGGGAGCCTCAGTTAATGGGGTGCACTGTGCCAGGCCCACTCGGAGCGGACACACCGAGATCCCCGTTACCGAGATCCCCATTGCTGGGATCCCCATTACCGGATCCCCATTACAGACACACCGGGATTCCCGTTCCCGGGATCCCCATTCCCGGGGCTCACCGGGATCCCCATTCCCGGGATCCCCATTCCCGAGGCTCACCCGGATCCCCATTCCCGGGATCCCCATTCCCGGGATCCCCATTCCCGGGGCTCACCGGGATCCCCATTCCCGGGATCCCCATTCCCGGGGCTCACCCGGATCCCCATTCCCGGGATCCCCATTCCCGGGGCTGCCCCGTCCCTCAGAACTGGGGAGGGGCGTGGCCAGGCGCGCCGTGAAGGGGCGTGTCCGCGCGGGGCTTGTCTTTGCGCAGGCGCACTCCCCGCCAGCGCTTACGCAACTCCTCCCGCCGCCTTCCCCCCCCACCCCCTCCCCTCCCCGCCCCCCGCGCGCGCTACGTGCGCGGCCGCGTGGCGCCGCCGCGCGCACGCGCACGCGCCGCCCGCGTGCCTCCCTCCCTCTCTCCCTCCCCCCCCTCCCGCTCCGCTCCCCGCACTCCCCCACCGGGGCCGCCTCGAGCCGGGAGCGCGCGCGCGCCCCCGCCCCTCCCTCCTCCTCCTCCTCCTCATCTTCCTCATCCTCCTCCTCCTCATCCTCCGCTCCCGCCGCTGCTCCCTCTCGGTGCGTCCGTGCGGAGCCGCCTCGTCGCCCTTCCCGCGCCCCCCCCGCCGCCCCCCGCCCCCCCCCCCCGCCGCCGCCGCCGCCGCCGCCGCCCCGCCGGGGGGGGCGCAGCCCCGCACCCCCCGCGCTCCCGCCATGCCGGAGAAGCGGCCGTTCGAGCGGCTGCCCGCCGACGTGTCCCCCCTCAACTATGGGCTCTGCCTCAAGCCGGACCTCATCGACTTCACCTTCGAGGGCAAGCTGGAGGCCGCCGTGCAGGTAGGGCCCCCCCTTCTTCCTCCTCATCCTCGTCCTCCTCCTCCCGCCCCGCCCCCGAGGG